TCCCTTCCCTTCCCTTCCCTTCCTCTTCCCTTCCCTTTCCCCTTCCTTTCCCCTTCCTTTCCTCTTCCTTTCCCCTTCCCTTCCCTTCCCCTTCCCCTTTGCCTTTCCCTTTCCCTTCCCCTTCCACTTCCCTTCCTTTTCCTTCCCTCCTCTTCTCTTCCCCTTCCCTTCCCTTCGCTCCTCTTCCCTTCCCCTTCCCCTTCCCTTCCTCACCCCTTCCTCTTCCCTCCCCTTCCGTTCTTTTTACTTCCCTTCCCTTTTCTTCCCTCCTCTTCTCTTCCCCTTTCCTCCTCTTCCCTTCCCCTTTCCCTTCTCTTCCTCTTCCCTTCCCTTCCCTCCCCCTCCCCTTCCCCTTCCCCTTTTACTTCTCTTTCACTTCCCTTTCTCTTCCCTTCCCTTCCCTCCTCTTCCCTTCCCTTCCCTCCCCTTCCCCTTTCACTTCCCTTCCCTTCCTCTTCCCTTCCCTTCTCTTCCCCTTCCCTTCCCTTTCCTTCTCTCCTCTTCTCTTCCCCTTCCATTCTCTTCCCTTCTGTCCTCTTCCCTTCCCCTTCCCTTTCCCTTTCCTTCCCCTCCCTTCCTCTTCCCTTCCTCTTCCCTTCCTTTCCCTTCCTTTTACTTCCCTTCCCTTCCCTTCCCTTTCCTTCCTGTCCCTTGTCCTTCCTTTTCTATTCTCCTTCCTTTTCTCATTTTTTGGTGAATGCTTTACAATATTTTGTTCACATAATTCACAATGGTCCCTGTGTCACTGCAGTATAATGTTTCTGTGCACAAAAGAAAGAGTTATTATTTTAGGAAGATAGATTTGATGAAAATGAGCAACTCTGAGTCTGTCCTTAGCCACATCATCCCTCCTGAGGAAATAAATTTGCTGCTTAGCAGGATGCCTCCAATGGTACAGTGCTGGTAATGAGTGAGGACACAGCTCATAAACACTCCTTAGGATCGGAGAAATGCCTTCTTCTGGGGTGTACAGTATTTTCTCAGGATGTCCCCTTATGGGGGAGACCTTGCTCAGGACTTCTCATTCACAGGGTCAAATGCCATGAAGAAGCAACGAGTCCCCTCAGTGGGGTGAAATGTGGAAGGACAGGGGGCCACTTAGAAAATAGGGCTTAATAGGGCCTAATCCTCTTCAACTTTCTTGGAGTGTAAGATGGATTTGCGTGTGTGCATAGATCCTTGTACTCTGCACTCAGTGCTGTTACTCTGACCCACCTACACCAGCCCCCAAGAAGACACGCAGGAGAAGACCTGTGCAGCATTGCAGGCCCCGTCCTGCCTGGCCACACACTCCCCCCTGGGAGAATCGCAATGTATCACCTTATTCCACAAGTGCTGCTCTCCAGGCAGAAATGTGCTGTTCACCCCAGTGTAGTCCACTGGATAATCCTCACTGAAGTAGCTGCTTAAGCCTGATACTACTCAGGAAGCTTGGGAAACACTCTGACCTGAGAACTCTGCCCCTGCACACCAAGCCCTGTGGAGGAAGCGGTCCAAGCCAAGGTGCGCGGCGAACTGCACTTTCTCAAGCAGGCTTGTGGGTGCTGTGCGCTCCCCCTGACTCTTGGTGCTCACAGGGCAAGGATGATTGTCTTCAATTTGAAAAGAAGCAAACAGTCTGAGAGGAGTTAGTGCCCTGGCAGTACCGTGAAGTGTAGAGCTAGGGCCAGAACTTTTTTTTTCAGCATTTCTAGCATGGCATTCTCCCACTATACCTCTCTTCATAGCAGGTCAAAGAGATTCTTTAGTATTTTAATGTCTTTTATTATCCTTTGCTGTATGAGTGCCTCCTCATTGGTGAGATAAGTATCATGTTAAGGAAACGTGGCCAAAAGTAAGGAGAACATAGGTTTTTAAAAAGCATATAGACATTACAAATTAAAGCGGCGTAACTGGTAGCTATCTAGCCTCTATTTTCTAATCAGTTTAAATTACTTTAATGTATGTTTTTAAACTCAGATTTAGCTGCAAACCCAATATATAACTTTCTTAATGCTCGGCAAATTGCACTATGTCATTTCCTTTCAAATTTTCTCCTCTGCATCATACCTGTGGCCTGTATGTCTGGGACTTGGAATTGTCTTCTCATATGCCCTCATTTAAAGAAAGGGTCTTTGTCTTCATCCGTTTTGTAGACTATTTCTTTTATGCCTTTAAGGCATATCATTTCCACCTGAAAATTTACTTCATGTTTTTTATTCAACATCTTGTACTGTAAGAGTTCCTCCTGGCATGCCTAAAACAAAGTCAAATTAGACTGAAAGTGAAGAACATAAACTGTGAACTGTGTCTCCTCTGGGGGAGCTACCCTGCCATCGAGTTTAGAAATTCAAGTAGATCTGGTTACAGCTGGGAAAACGTGGCAATGATCATGAGTTAATTTGCATACAAAAGACAACCTCCAGGTATAGCCATTTTCAATCAATAGTCATGCAACCCAGAAAAAAATAAGTTGAATGAAGTGATTTTCCTATAATGCCTGTAAACAAAAAGACAGATTTCAAAGAGATTGGCCTCAAATATGAAAATGTCCTTCTGATCAGAGGAAAAGTAACTGGGTCTAATTGACAGTTGCAAAACACAGAGCAGAGAAGACATTTTCCAAAAGCATGTCTTTGAATCAAAGCTGGGGTTAGTAATGTCACTTTGGTTTCTGTCCCCATCTTTCACTAGTACCATGTTCATCCTATCACTTCCACCGTGCTTTCAAAGGACACTACTTGAACACAAAATCTATTACCTCATGATAGACTAATCTTCTAGAGTAGAATTGTTTGCATTTGCAGGGAGTTAAAATAGATTTACATGATTCCCACAGTGACATGTCTTTGCTTGGTATATTATTCCCAACCAGCCTGCTTTGGGGGTAAGGTAAAGCCTTGATGATAAAAAGGCAGAAGTGAGTGTGCGCATGTGCACACAAGGTAATGTGACTGCAGGAAAACTTGATGGCCAGCACCCCTGGCCACCTGCTCTTGCTGCTGTCTGCCTAATCCTTGCTTCACCTGACTGGCAGAATCCATACAGTGAGCAGCATTAATCTATCTGTACAGCACGGGGATTGACTTTCGTATTCTTGGTATTCATGAAGATGACTTGCGCTAGCAAGATGCTTAACTCTTGTTTTCTTGCTTTCACCTGTTACTTCATTCCCTAGTTTTCTTTCTGCTTTAACACTTGGAACAAAGTTCAAACTTGAGCACAGATGTTAGAAAATGATTTTTCTCTACAAGCCCTAGGAAAGTGACTTGTATTCTAAAATTTAAGGAATATGTATGAACTTGAGACTTAGTAAACACTAAAGGGCTTGAATTTCCAACACTAAAAATCTAAACTTGAAGAATGTAGATTTTTAAAATTGCTATTCAGCACACTGTGTTTATATGAATAAAGAGGTTCATTATGTTGATTCTCTATGGCCACCCGGAAGGTCAAGTCCAGTGCTTGATTAGTTATTGTCTCTTAAGTATGGTGGCCTCTGCATCTAATTTGTAGCAGCATTCTCTTCTCCTTGGCCCTTACCCACCCCCAAGAATCATAAATAAAAAAATCTCTTGATAGATAATTTTTCAAAGATCTGAGCAGTCCTGAAATTGTCAAACCTCTCCTTCAGTGTTCTCCATATTAAATGTTATTTCTTTCTTTTTCTTTTTTTTTTTATTGCAGAACTGGGGATTGAGCTCAGGCCCTTGCTCTGCCCAGGCAAGCACTTATTCTACTGAGCCATCTCTCCGGCCCCTGAAATGTTATTTCTATAGCCTGAAAACTGTCTAGGGGAGTACAAGTTTAGTTCTGATTACATAATTATGCTACAGAAATATGAAAAAAAATCATCACTAAAACCCTCCAGGTGCTTAAACAGTTTGATAGACTGTAGCCATTCTGCCATCAGCACCTCCAGCTGTGTTGCTTAGCAACATTTTAATTCCAGAAGAATCGAAGGAGATGAAATCCCTGTAGAGAAGGAAGCAGAAATAAGAGGACTGTTGACAGATGATCTGAGTTGTTTCTTCTAATATACTGTGAAGATCACTAGCTCTTTTCATGAATGATAAATGGACTGTACACAGATCAATGGGTTCAGCAATAAACTGGAACCAGGCTCCATGTCTAAGGTGACACCGGCCCAGCGGCCCTGAGATTTTCCTCATTCCAGGATTTGAGATGTATTTTCTTAAAGGTTCCACAGGAAGAAATTGATCTCAATATTTGGTCATTCCTTGCTCTTTTGTGGTGTTTGCTTATAAAAATGATTTTAGAAATGGGTACTTTGACCTTTATCAGGCATGTGTGGCCAGTTGACAATAGCAACAGTGGGGTCAGTGGTTCCCTAGCACAGACCTACAAGTCCAGGACATTCCTGGAACCCTTCTGTACCTCCCTCCATTCACTGTCATTACAAGAGAAAAAGGTATGGAGCGGAGTGCCTCATCGTGACTTGAGGGCCTACTCGCATGGCTCATGTGAACTTTGTAAGCAGTCTTAACAATGCCCACCTGCATTTGAAAGCTGAGCTTGGACAGGCAGCCTGTTCCCTGGGGGGAAGAAAATGGTTCTTTATATCTGCAGTCCACTTGTCAACAGCACTATGATTTCTTTAGATGCTTGCATTTCTGAAGATTATTTTTCATTGCTTATTGTTTTGGGTACTAGTTGCAATGATTATGCCTACTAATGTTGCTTTTTTTCCTTCTGTTTACAGGCTGTGGAAAAAGCAAAACCTAAGAATAATCCTGTGAAGTAAGTTATTATGTTTATGAGTTGAACATGTTATTGTTAATGGATTTCATGTGTGTGAAAAAATTAGGTCATGGAAGAGACCCAGATTTTGAGTAAATCTCTACTTATGACAAGTTAAGGAAAAAACAGCAGCTCTTCAATGAGCAAGGACTAGCTTTCATTCGTCCCTGTATCCCTGAGGAGAAAATGTCCCCAGTTGTATCCAGTTTACATAAATTAATACATGCCATCCAAGAATAGCTGCCAAATAGTATTAGAATCATATTCAGCGCATTCTACTTCAAACCTTTGAGTTTTTCACACTCTAAAAAGATTGCGTTTTTAATTGTAACCCTTTGACCTATGGCAGAGACATAAATGTCTGGATGGTGCCAAGAGGTGTGCAGCCACGTGGCGATATTTGGCATCCTGGTATTAAGGCCCAGATACTCTGTTAATGAAAAGCTCGCAAAAAAACCCATTTAACTAAAGAGTTTTTTTAAGGCAACAGAGAGATATTTTCAAAGCATTGTATTGGACACTGTGAAATGATAAGAAATGAAGCAGTACTTCTTAGGCATCATGTCACCTCCAGAAGGGAGACTTCTAATGAAGAGCAATGGTAGTCTGGTCATTTGGGTCTATGGCATCTGATTTCAATGGTGTGATGCTTACTGATCCTTTCAGCCATGGGGCCAAGGGAAGACCTTCTCGATTTGCTGGGCTATTTTAGAACTGGCACTATCACATGCCTAGGAAATATGTGTCAATTCATGTCAGCCAGCTTCCATTATAGCTGATACCAAATACAGAAATGAAGAGTGCATTGATTTTTAGTAGTTTCTGGGAGAATGATTCAACTAGGGCCAAGGACAAACGAGAAAGCTGCTTGTGTTGTGTGAAAAGAATTAACTCTTCCCATGCACACTGCTCATGTTTAGAATAGTACTAAATCCAAGCCCCAATAATTTTCCCCAGATATTATGCACTTTCTTTTTAAACTTCATTGTTCTTAGACCACAAAGAGCATAGGATTCCCCGTCAAGCCTCTGTAGCCTCTGGAGGGGCATCTGTGTTATGCTGTGGTGCTTCTACAGAAGTATTTTCATTTACCAAGCTGTTTGCTGGTTGTCTGGTTAAAGTTTAAGTCTTCTCTGCAGTCTAATTTCTTTTCTGTCTGTATGCCCTCAGGGCTCCTCCACTGAGCCTGTGCTGGAAAGCTCAGTGAATTAAAAGTTGGTGCTAATGAGGCCAGGACCAGGGCTGTAGTCCCTGGGTGGGCCATTAGTGAGTCTCCTACCCTCAATCCAACTGCACCCCTCCCTCCAGTCTGCCAGCCTACAGATGTGCATCCCTCCTTCAAGGGCTAGGGTGAGAGTAGCAGGAGTGCAAATCTAGGCTTTTACTGGGGCAAATGTCTCCAAACTCTGCCCTCTCAGAAGGACTTGAATCCCAAGCTTCATCTGTGCATGTACTACACACCTCTACTTGACAGTGTGGCAGCTACAGGACATCGTTGCCACATTGTGTGCTAGGGATTTGGAAATACGCTAACTCTGCACATACATATTTCTATGAGTTCTTGTTAGTTCACAGTGCAGACTCTAATGTCTACCACTCTGAAGAATGATATTAAAGATTGGAAAAGCCTTCTACTTTTAAATCTATTGTAAAATCTTCTTAGTAATACAACTATGTCATGACCAACTGGTAGGTATTAAGAATTCCCTTCGAGTTAGTGTCTTAAGTGTGAGTTTGGGTATGATATCCCATTTGGGCTCACAACAGTGAACTCTTTATGGAGCCGCTTTAAGGAGGCCTCCACGAGTTCTCAGCTCAAGTGCCAATGCTCCAGATTAACATTCATTTCCACTGCCTGTTAGAAGACCAGAGTCTGACTTTTATAAAGTGGCATCTGTAATGGTCCTCTTGCCATTTCTACATTCTACCAGACAATTTTGGTTACACACAGTGCGCTGGGACCTGAAATAAAGATTCTATCCATGTTTTCTCAATGAGTAAACAAGCAAAAAAGGTTGGACACATCACAAAAATAGACCTTCCAGGAGCTTGCAAGGCGGGAGGATTACAAAGCTGGAGGCTCTACTGTGATACAGTGTCTCCATGAAGTTAAAGAGGTTTCTGTGATTTAGCATGGCCAAATTTCCCAGCCTTGGTTATTCCTGACTCTTGTTCCCATGTTTTTTTCTGACTCCTTCTAGTTGCTTTGCTTTTGAACAATTGCTTGTTTAATCTCCGGTGTGAGAATTAATATTTAATTTTAGTCAAGGGCCTGTGACAGAATATGTGTGTACTGATGAGATCTGGTGGTATAAGTTGCAACTGAAGTATGATCTTAGATTGGCAAAGACAATTATCCATGTGATTAGACATTGTCTTTTCAAGTAGTTTGGTAAATGGTGCGAAAAACTCAAGGATGAATTTTGTGATAGGTGAAATGCCTATGAAGATCCAAATTAAACATCTACACATGAAAATTTATTGGAACACAGCCATATTCATTCATTTCTTCATTTCTCCATTATCTGTGTCTGCTTTTGTGCTACTGTGGCAGAATGTTAAGGCAAGCATGGAATATAGCATGAAAAGCCAAACACCTTTTTAAAAAATGTATTTTCTGCAGTGTCTACAGGGTATTTGGGGTCTCACTACATAGATTGGACTTGTAGTGATCCTCCTGTTTTCAGCCTCCCAAGAGCTAGAATTACTGGTGCATGGCACCACACCCAGTCTCAGTCACTGTGTCAGTGTGCCCCAGGGGCAGGGCCAGCATGACATGCCAGGGATTGAACCCTGACCTCTGAGTCTGCCTAAGCAGGCACTTTAGTCCCCTGAGCTATCTTGCCGGCCCATACCAGACACCTCTGTCTTTGAGCCTCTAATGTAAATAGTTTACTGAATCCTGCTGTAGTTGGTCAGAGAGCAAAAAAGCACTCAATTTTTTCATGACTCTGAGGACTAAAGTAGCAATCCTTTCCTTTTTTTGGCCTTTGAAAAACAAGTAGATGTTTCTGAGCCCTTTCTGGGTGTCCATGGCCTTCCAGGCCTGATGTATCTCTTGATTCTCCTTCTAAGCAAAGAATTTCACTCTTCATTTGCTACCTATGAAAACTTAGTGGGCCTGAAACCCATAAAGATGCAGATGACTCAGAAGTCAGTGGACGCATATGTAGAGAACATTGCAGTCAGATGAGGGGACTGTGAAAGGCACATACATTTTTAGAACTTTGTTATTTCCAGATTTAACTAAGGCTAAGTAAGCTTTCCCTTGGTGTGATAGCAAATGATTTACAGTATCCATTAGTTTGTATATTTCCCCTTTGAAAGATTTGCCTTCCCCTTCCTATTTCTCAGCCACTTACCCTATTTATTTATGATACTTTCATAGTTGTAAGCTTCTTTCCTCACCATAAGGAGATGATGGTACATGTTCATTACACTCCCATATAAGGGAGAAACTAAATATATGCTTTCTGAACATAAGCATATAATGTACCTGAAACACTAAGAACCTTATCTTGAAATATTGAATATTACTTCTGAAGGTAAGACTTAAAGTGAATATGCATAACATCAATTATCGGGACAAGAGATTCTTGGCTAACTTCTTAATATGTTGGAAGCAATTGGTAACAAAGCTTGATTAGTGTGATAAAACTGTGGCTCTTTAATATGTCAGCAGGAGAGACTTTCACTTGTATGATAGTGATTTAGACCAATCATCTCCAGGATTTTATTGTGACAGTAAAGCCTAAGATATGTACAGATTTCTTTCACCATATGTGACTTATCACATATATATATATATATGTATTTAAAACCACATTTCTGTTATCCAAGGACAAACGAGAAAGCTGCTTGTGTTGTGTGAA